AACTTCCTAGCTTGCTCAATAAAGAGCAAACGAGAGCTTACAGCTGCGCCATACTTCATAATGGAAAGGACTTGAATAAATCAGACAAAACTCTTATCAAAGACCAAACGTGACTATAACACCATTGAGGCGGGGATTGCAGTTTTGGGTAATCTTGTAAATCCGTAACGTCCCCTAACTATACTTTAAGGTTAGATCCAATCCCTTGCTCTCAACTGACTTACACTAGCTATGTTCACATAGCACCAACATAGTTTTAAACTTTACGATTGCAAAACATTGAAATTATAAATAAATATCCACAATGTGGAGGGTTCACATGGGACCGTACAAGTATTCAAGGTTTTTTTTTTTACCAGAAGCCGGGTAAGCATTCAAATTCAAGTACAAGCAAGCATAACCTCGACGGTTAAAATGTCTGCACGGCACACAACTAAAGGTGAGGCCCCCTCACGGCTCGGAGCATAAAATCACTCATGATTTATAACTTCAAATTAACTTAAAGCTTCATAAACACACATGCATCTGCAAGATTTGTAACTACAAGAGAACATCAAAGTTTAAAACCACAACCTACAGTGTACATGTAATCTTTAAGTTTACGGGCTGCCGTGTGAACCTAATTATTAAATATAGACGTAGGGCAGCTAGGCATTTGATCATGGATCGTCATGTTGGTGTGATTGTTAAGTCAGCTAAGACTTTATCTTATCGTGATAAAAATAGAGCTTGCTCCATTTTTAGACCATGTGGAGTTCTGCCGAACAGCATCGAGGATACTTCAGAAACATATTCTTGAATGCGATGCGAGTGTTTCGGTGGTCTCACATGACCACAGACAATGCAAGTATTGTCAGGGATGGTGGGGTTTTGAGCATACAATGAGCCCCAAATGGAATAACTGACAGATATTGTCAAGGGCAACCAGGCTCATGCAAAGTGCCCCTGCACAAAATATGAATGTACACAACCTTCATGTACTTCAGTGCCTGAAATGCACTCTGCTGTGATTGTATGCCAAAGAAATGTGGCAGTTGGAACATATTATACCAGTGATTTAGATTTTTGAGTCACAATTTATCTAATAAGTTAAACATTAGAACATTTTGTATCAGTAAAATATGATTTTGTTTTTTTATACTATTCATTTATCATAAGTTACAAATTTAAAAAAGAAGAATTTAAAGAAGAAGAACCAGAAGAAGAAGAATGAAAGATGAAAGAGAAGAAGAACAAGAAGAAGAAAAAGAAGAAGAAAAAAAGCAGAAGAAGAAGAAACAAAAGAAGAAGAAAAATAAGAAGAAGAAGAGGAGGAGGAAGAGGAGGTGAAAGGGGATCAGTAGAAACATAGCTCTTGAGGGGATGTTTCCAAGCTATTTTACATACATTATATACCTTTGATTTTTTTCTACAATTCATAATGAAACTATAAACACTGTTATACACACTGAAAAATAAAACCCATACAAAAGGGAAAAATACATCATTGCATTCTCTATATTAAACATAGACCCAACACACAAAACATCTGTACTCAAATGCAACGGGAGTGCCAAACCACTTTGAAAAGTTCCATTTTTAGGATCAGCATTGGCACGTTTCCCAATCGCGGCTACCTTTCTTCCTCTCACTCAAATGAACATGAAACATATGTTAAGAGCCAGAAAGACGTTATCTAATATACTTTAGCATAGTGCTATTGCCCTTTTGGCTTTGAGCCTTTGATAGGAGATACTGTTGAAGGTAATGACAAAGGAAGTTCTCATCATTGACGTCAATCTTTGAGGCGATAGAGAAAGAGATATTGATTTCATTGTCCTAAATGTCCTAAATATTCTACCATGAATTGCAAATTTCTATGATTCTATTCAAGGATGACATGGGAACTATCTGATTTCAAATTTGACAAGCCTTGTCTAATAATCTTCAACATCTATTTCTGATAAATAATTTGCTTCTTTTGTTATATATTGTTCTGCTACATGTATGCTTTCTTCCTAACTTCCTCTAACTGAAAAATACTGTCAATGAAAACTTGATTTTGAGACAAAACAGAATACATGTGTCTACTAAACTATTTTGATTATTAGAAAATAAAATTGCATTAAATTTATGTCTTGATGGATGTCTCTTAACAGTTGAGCTCAATATGAGTATACAGTATATACCTCTTTGTTCACTGCACAATGATATGGACATGAATATGCAGACCTGCCAACCTCTGGAGTTAAAAAACTGTATTCTTTAGTCCCAAAAGTTGTATTTTACTGACAAAAGTTGTATTCTTGAAAATAAACACGGAATGTTACGTATCAATGCCTCTTACAGTTTCTACCTACAGGAAGAATTTTTTTTATTGATCATTGGTTGAATATGCATGATTTCGTCATGACTGGTGTGTTCAATGAACCAATGAACATCCCCAAATTGCCGATGTGAGATGCTTGTAGGATACTTTACAGGACAGAATGGACATTTTGCCATTGAAAATGGCGGATGCACACACAAAATATTATGTGTTTTTTTTTGTTGTTTTTTTGGAAATCATATTTTATTAAGGAAAATCGTACTGTCGTATTTGCTTCTAAAAATCGTACTAAATACGACTAAATCGTACCAGTTGGCAGGTCTGAATATGGGGTTATTGATCAGAAAATAGAGATACCGACCTTTATGTATTGAAAAGACATTTGCAGGAGAATACACCTGGGATGGTATGGAGTATTTAAAATACTTAAAGCCCCACTGCACTATTTATAGCTACTTGCGCCCTCTATATAGCAAACAATGCCTAATCAGTGCCTGTTGGTCCCCCATGATCCGCTTTTTCTTATGTTAATTGAGAGCTGATTTGATGAGATAACCATTTGTCAATGACCTTGCAGGGAGGTCTAAACCCCCCTGACCAAACTAGTACAGGCGGGCTTTACTGTAATACCACCCTAAGTATATACTCATCTAATTCTGTCAACCATATAATTAATATGGTGACAATGGATTTAAAGATTTCACACCCCTTCGGTCATTTTGATTATAAAGTGCTAACATGAATATACAAGGGGAATTCCCAGACATTTAATACTATGGCAAGGTACATATAATCAACACAAGAGGGAGACCTTCAGAAATTCAACGGCAAGGATAGATTAATTGTCACTTTTCCACATGTTCACATAAAAAATTAAGAATACAAAATTGTTTAAAATTGTTTTTTTTTATAAAGATTTCAGTATTGTGAGAGAACTGTGGAACTAACTACCGGTAGTTATATTTCCCAAAGTTCTTAAATCCTCAAAAAATTCAAATCAATTTCTGCATAAATCTTTACCATTATTCAATTTAGTGGCTTTTAATGCCCATCTGCACTAGTTTAGCCAGGAAGGATTAGACCTCCCTGCAGGGTCACTGACAGGTTGTTATCTCATCAAATCAGCTCTCAATTAACATAAGAAAAAGGGGAATATGGGGGACCAATGGTCACTGATTAGGCATTGTCTGCTATTAGTTCAGTGGGGCTTTAAAAAAACTCACTTTCACTTTCAGTTGAAATTGCTGCTTATAAATAAAACTGAATATGATCTGAAAGCCGCATGATATCAGAGTGACACTTAGGATTAGAGGCCTTGGATGTGTTAATTACCGATGGTAAATGCTAATTACAGATAGCAACCAAAACATTTACTCATCAAGATATTAATAGAAACATGAAAATATCTGAACTCTCAGTATTTTGGGTACAAATCTTCTTTTTATTTCAACGCATCTTTCCTTTACTTCCTGTCTGCATCAAGCGCTTTCTTCTGTAATCGCGTCGTAGCGGGGTGATTAGTACAATACGTGATGCCACCCCATGAGGAAATATATTAATTAAGACATTTGTCAGGGGATAATACACCGTTTCCTCTCCACTGAAGTTCAATACACTCCCATTACACCTTTGAGTTCAAGAAAGTTACAATAGATTCCACAGGGGCATACGCAAAGTGGTTCCGGTTTGACATGATCATATTTACAAGGTGATCTATCATTAATATTAATGATAGTACTCTGTTCTTGTACGTCACATGTCTTCACACATGATTCCAGAGAGGTTTGGATTATTGCTTTCGCCCAGCCTAGCTGCCCTAATGAAGGCACTAAAATAAATTCCTACCGGTGCCCATTAACTTCACCTGGGTCGAGTGTGGCAAATGCAGATTAGTGTCTTACAAAGGGAAACTTGTTAGTGCTGTGGCAGGGATATGAACCTATACCTTGCGATCTGCAGTCTGGTGACTTATCTACTAGACCACGACACCTCTAAAGGGGAACAATTGCCAAGAACTCATCTTGCTCTGTATGGTGGGGGCTCAATACTGGTATTCAGAACATCAGCTTTATTTATTACTTTCATGGATTGTAAAACAGCATTCAAATTAAGATACCAATTTTGCACTCTAACTATGGGCAATAAATGTCTTGTAAGTTGACAAGTAGAAGCACTTCCATTATATGTGGGCACATAGAAAGCAACTCTCAGTTAAAACTTTCACATCACAATGTGCATATGAGGGCATCTGAAGTGCAATCCTTTACAGGGGACATTGAAAAAGATGATGTTCTCTTCACGCATGCTTCCAAAGAGCTTTGGATCATCACCCTCGCTCAGCCTAGCTGCCCTATTGAAGGCGCTGAAGCCTACAGGAATTAATTCCTACTGGAGCCCATTTATTTCACTTGGGTCGAGTGTGGCAAATGTAGCAAATGTAGACATTAAAAAAGATAATTTTTTCCAAAACTAACCTATAATGAGGATCCTAAACAAATCATTTTCCACCTCTCTCGGAACTTAGACTTCCCTTTAAAATTCTATACAACCTTAAAAAAATTAAAAGACTTAATTTTTTCAATTGCTTACCATTTGTCTTTCAATGATTAGTTCCTTTCAACTTTATGATCAAACTGAACTTACATAATCCCCCCCCCCCCAAAAAAAAATCATCCTGTCTTCCTCAACTTACCTTTGAAATGAGGAGTGATCCAGTCGACTTGAGCCCAGATGCTCGATGGTATCGTCTGTGTCAGTGACACACGGGTTGCCATATGACAGGCTTTCTTTGGAGTGAGAGCGCCCTCTACTGGCCATGGATTGTGATCGGGAAGGCTGCTTGTCGATGGCTGCATAGGAAGGATTGCTGTAGCTAGGAGTGGAAGGTCTTGATGATCTGGATTCTGTGAAGTTGGTGAAAAGATTTGGTAAACGATCCTGAATCACATTTTCAAGGCATCATTTAACAATGTTAAATCTGAGATGCATGGCCCTATGTGTTATCAGTGTCTGTGATATGGTGTAATATTGAAGCCCTAAAAAAATTGCGCTTCAAAATAGTTTAAATCTTTGAGAGACCGGTCTTACCATACTCATTTTCCCCAATAGACTATATTGTTATAAAAACTGAATTTCAAAATTTTGATTTCAAATCATAAATATCTTGATAATCAGACAGGTGATCGGCTTGTAAAAGTGATGGGATTACTGACTGACCTAAAAGTTCATAATTATGATTGCAGCATGAGCTAAATCCAGGGTTTTGTTTCAGAATCTGAAGCAAAGTTACTGAGTCACTTTAAGGTTGGTTAGTAGTGTATGTACCAATAAATATTTCCATGAAAACTTGAAGATGTAGGGTTACTGTACACTTTTTTCAAGGAATGCTAAGGAAGTTTCAAATTTCTCTGGTATCCACACCAACTGAGCTCTGATAACTCTTTTTAACTTTATTTTTAAATCTTATAAATCAAATAAAGATGATAAATGCATTTTACTACATCTAAAAATCCTAACATAATCCAATCTTCCTCAGAATCTGTAGTTGAATACTGGAACAATTTTGGGGTAGAAAGATTTATTTTGATGAACCACTTACAACTAAATTTACCCTGGTCACAGGCATAAAGATTTATTCAACCATGCACCTTATTGAGAGTATTGAACACAGGCGGATTGGATATAAAAGTCTGCCCTTGTTTAAGTAGCTTGATGGTCCCACTCAAACTTCATCGATTGTTCTTCAAAAATAAATTACAAAAAATGTTTGATGACAAATCGACCCCTAGTACTAAATGTATGCCTAGTATTACTGAGTGATCCGTTTTTTCAGAACGTTTTGCTTATGAACAGGAAAATCATCATCAAAAACAAACCTTTACTTGAGCTCCGCTTTCTCGGATCACCTGACCCTTGCTTGGAGTCATGTGACCTGGAGGTAACAATTTCTGATCGCGGCCTGAACGTCACTTCCTCATAATCTGATTCTGTCCTACTCCGGCCATTTTGGCTGACATAACTATCATCGTTGATACGACTATACGGATCGTCCTTTTCGACTCCGTTTGTCCAATTGTCATGCCTCGACATTCGCTCGTCATCTTGCCGAGAGGGTGTCCTAGATTTCCTTGATTTATCAACAGTGGCGTACATGGGCATATCACGGCCATTCGAAGTTCTGTTCTGTTGTCTAGAGTCGTGACCGTTGGAGTGTTGCCTGCCCGCTGGAGATTCGCTTCTCCTCGAAGACTGCGCTTTCCGCTCTCGCCTATCGCTGTCGTACGACCCGTCGGTATCGTCGTCGAACCTCACCGACCTGGACGGAGATGCAGGTCGCGATGATTTGCGTAATGCTGAAGGCGTGGTGGGCCGCGAGGAGGAGGAGGCAGGGTTCTTTTCGTCAAAGTCATTTCTAATGGGGGTATCCTGGAATACTATATGTGTGACTTGTTCTGTTTCTAAAGAGTCTGTCGATGAGTGGTGCTTAGGCCTCGCACCTTGCTCGGCCCACATGTCACGTGGAGAGCCCTCGTCTGGTGACCTTTTTATGGTAGAACAAAACAATGAAATATATGATGATGTTTGAAGGTTTGCATGGTGGTATGAATAATCGCGGTAGACGTTTACGGTACACCATGTGTAAAGTCCTAGAAGGACTAAGGAAAGTGGATAGAAAATAGAAGTCAAAATAGAAAGGCGAGAAAGTGGAGGTTGGAAGGAAGAGTATCTTTCGGAAGTGAGTATAGTCCTGAAAAGGACTGTAAACCAGAAAGTTGTAGATAGGATGAGAGGTTTGAGTAGAAGACTCATCAGTCACTTTCCTTAGTCCTTCTAGGACTTTACACATGGTGTACCGTAAACCTCTACCGCGATTAATGAAATATATGTATGACAACTTGAAACAAAAGACATATCCTTTCTGCAACATAACTGAAAGTCTGTCACAAAATTCCTCATTGCAATGAAGAAATATGGAAAAATGAAAAATATTGTCAGCTTTATTCAATTTGGCAGCCACAGAGGACCTATCCTTTCTGCAACATAAAAAATCTGTCGCAAAATTCCTCATTGCATGAACAAATATGGAAAAATGAGAAATATTTTCAGTTTAATACCATTTTGCAGCCACAAAATAGAATGTCAAAATAGTATACATGGTTACTTTTATGTCATGCTTTAATGGATCGCGGCAGAGCAGAGGATTTCTCTAATTCAATTTAAAAAGTAGCTCTACTGTTACTAAATAATCAGCCTTGTGTTTTCTGTGTAATTCAAATATAATATATCATATCAATTTTCAATGTAATGAAATCAATTCCACAAGCATTATTTTCTTTCTCAATATAAGCCATGTGCATTTCAAGTTTAAGCTCTCAACAACAAAAAGTTGCGGTTTTTATCCATTGTTCCAGAAATATAAAATCTGACAAAGCATCTGCACATTAAGAGGGATATTTTGAGCTTCAAATTATTCAATTTCAGCAAATGGACTTCAGACAAAGAGTGTAGTTAAAGTAAAAAATAATTCTTCAAATAAATTTATTTCTCGTCTTGCAAAAGATAATATCTATCTTTCTATCTAGAGGAATGGACAATATCAATTCTAAAAATATCCAAATTGGTGTATTTCTGCTGTGCACTGCATGGGCATTCATGACTTGGCAGAATTAAATATCAAGTACAAAAAAAAAGGTTATAAATACCACTCTTTGTCAAAAAAGCAATAAAGAGAGATATTCCAAAGACAAGGAAAGAAAAAAAAGGAGAAAGAGATTAGAGAGGCAAAAACAAAGGGAAATTACAGAGAGAAGAAATGAAGTGCAAGAAAGAAAGCACTAGAGAGGAAAGGGGGAAGAAATGACAAAAAGACAGGAAAAATGAAATAGAGAGAGAGAGAGAGAGAGAGAGAGAGAGAAGAGAACAAAGTGCGAGAAAAGGTACTTGAGGTAAAAGAATAGGAGAAATAAGAAAAGTAATTTAAATACAAAGGTTGGGAGAGAGAGAGAGATGCACACAATAATGATGAAAAATGCATGTCTGTCAATGGACCAATGCAAGAATAAAGGAGATGAAGAGAGAAACCAGAAAACAATCGAAAAGTGACAGAGAAAATGAATTAAACAAATGTGTAGAACAGTTTAGTGTACAACACAGATACTTAATCCTAAAAAGGCCGGGCTATTTGGGGTCTTGATACATGTATGACAAGGGGGGGGGGGGGGAGCCATTACTTCAGGTTAAGGTCACATCTCATCCACCTAATAAATCAATGGGCGACACCCCCCCCCCCCCCCCATCCCCAATCATGAAGCCAGGTCCCCTCAATAGCAGCTACCGGTACTGCAAATCACTATACATACCTTTTCTCCTTAGTAAACGGTTGTATGCTATGGTCAGCTTTCAGGGGGCCACTGGGCCCCTTGGGCGTGGTCCTCATGGGGCCATCTCTGTTACCCTTGGACAGGAGCCGGAAGGAAGAAGGGAGCGGTCTCTTAGAATTGTATCTGCAAGGAATGAGAAATGTAGCTTGGTAATTTGTCACTTTCTTAATGATTGTTTGATTTTGGGTAGGCATAAAGATAATTTAGATCATTTATATATATTTGATTTACTATACCTGTAATTACTTTTCCTTGGACTAAATTTACTTCAATGAGAACCTTGAAAGGTTTAACACATCATGATTAATATAATAACAATTTAAAATATCACCAATGGTGAAATATTGTAATATCTAGATAATATATTGTACATTATATTCAAAGGCTTAGACACATTTTCTAAAGCATACACGTATATACCAAATTATTTTGATGAAGGTACCAAACCTAACCTTATCTTTATAAAAAACATTACATCTTCTCATTATGGTATATGAAGGACATTTATGTAATTTTCTTGTTTACACCAAATCATGTTAATATGATCAATGTTGTTTTTGCCCTGCATCATCAATATTTCATTTTGTAAAAGTGACTAAACTCACCTGCTGTGTGAATCGCCATTTGTACCATCATGTCGACTATAACTTGAATCTGTATCACTATCTGCTGTATGGTAGCCTGAAAGATAACCAAAAAGTAAAAGAAGATATTTTAAAGACATATTAACTGAATTGTCAGACAGAAACATGAATCAGTATCAAAGCCACACAACAAAATTTATATACTGGAGCATTTAGCTACTTCACATCAGAAAGCTGTAAAAGCTGAGAATTTTTTATGAAGATTTCTCGTTAAAAAAATTAAAGTGTCTATGAAAATTCCTGCTGTATCTATTTTAATTACATGTTTAAAAAGTCACATGAACAAAAACTTATCTTTGGAACAAAAGGCACAAATACCTATATCTGCAACTAATATGCTTCTTCAAATATGACTCATATAAACTAATTATTTTTCAAAGGAATCACTAGAATCATAATTTTCAATGAAAAAAAGGTGATGAAATGATTAAGGTGCAGGAATGACCATAGCCCTGTCTGTCAAAAGCAGAAGTGTTGATTAATTGATGCAATTTTGCTGAAGTGCGGCACTTCATGAGCACTCACTCATACCCAATACTCACATCCCAATCAATTTGGCCATTGAGGACCTGTCAATATTTACACACAAATCACATCCAGAATTGTCATGGAATTAAGTCCACTATTTACATTTTCTTCGATCTCAAATTTAAAGCTTATTTTAATTAAATTAAAAAACAAACAGACCTCTTACTTGTGTTCGCTTTATATTTGCCTTATTAGCTACCTTTGAAGATCACACTCCGATATCATGTTATACCGGTATAATAATATATAGATTTGTGCATTAAATTTGATAGCATCATAATGCTATCAAATTTAATGCACAAATCTATATTAAGTGCCTTGTTACAAATTATAGAATTTAAATAGTCAGAATGCAAATTGCATACATTACTTGTTGCTAGGTAGAACAAACCATAATGTTTATCCTACCTAGCAACAGTTAATGTCTGTTATTCGTATTCTGACTACTGAAATATAATTATTTGTAACAGGTGAATGAAATAACAGACTTTAGGCCTATGCATTAAATATGATTAAATTACAAGAATATTCTATTTCTAGCATGTCCTTTTCATTTACTAAAACATGTGAAAACCTAAAATGTCCTAAAAATCAATCAACACTCATCAAGTATTATTATTCTGTAGGCCTATGTGTTGTATTTATACCGCAACATGTGATAACCATGCATCACCTTGGCATTCCATTCATACTCCGAATAGCTCAGGTGGTATTTTCGTAACTAAGGAAGCCATCTCCATAGTAACCAAGGATGCTAGTCTCATCTCCCATTGAGATCCTCACCCGGCCATCACTGTACCTGCTTGCGTACACTGAGAGCCCACACATCGCGTAGAGCTACATGTACATGTATGCATGTGTAATGCCAACTGAATGATTGAAATCAACTGAATTATTGAAATCACGCAGCCAAATTGTGCCACTGTATACTCATGGATAGTTTTGCACAATATTTGCCCCTCGTTCGTATAACCTGTGTTTATAATAAGTTTTTTTTAATGTATTGTGAGTATTAGAGAAATACATTCAAGTCAAACATAACTAATGTAAGAAAATTTTATCACAGCCATTTATAATACTGGTAATCATATTTTCAACATAATGTATATTATGCACTAGAAGTAATAATTAATATAAACAAACTGTTTCTCATTTGTGAAACCCAGTAGTAATTATTACTACATTCATTTTATGAAAGGGAACTATTTTATATTTATAAAAAGAAATGCCTGGTAAGGATGTGCATTTTGAAATGACTTTATCACATGCATTTACTCTAAATGTATTGATTACTCTAAATGTATTGATTTTAGACTGTAAAATCCAATTTGTACTACTGCCTGGTTTAAGTGTTATATATCTTCACAAAGAAATCAAACATATCATATGTCCTTACATCTACAACATAATGTTTGGTAGATGCTGATTGTTTTGTTTTCTCAAGAGCTTTTAGACAGCTTTGCAAAGACAAGAGGGCTGAATAAAATAGAGATAACAGTAATTTGTTAAAAGCCCCCTCGCTTCTATTCAACTCTTGTACACATAACCCCAAGCATCTTTTACACCACTATTTACTTTCTGCTTCCTATACTACTAGAGCTCAATAGAGCCCCCTTATTATATCTTTGCTTGGAAAACAGCCTAAAAACCCCTGATCCAATACACAACAAAGACAAATTCCACTCTCTATCCTAAATCATGTCCCCCTTAAACCCGCTATAAAGCCATTTCTAAAGAAGGCTTGGAGGTTGTATTGAAAAGGGAGAAAGGGTATAGATAAAGGGGGTATTGATTTCTTGGCAGCCATTCAAATGCAAATTATTTGCATTGAGGGGCGAGGGAGAAGACAGCTGCGGGGATGTTATTAGTGCACGGTTGCGTGAATCGCTTGATTAGCGAGAGTACACTTTACGAGGTGAAGGAGTTTTCAGGCTCAGCTAATATTCATTATTGCTACACTTACAAGAGTATTGCACATACTCTGTGTCAATTCACATACATTTTTAAAATCAATAAAATATTAAAATTTTCCCAGCAAATCTAAAAGAGATTTTATCTTCTGTTGAGAGCCAGAAGGGAATTAACTCTGTATTAAATGGGGGGGGGGGGGGGGGGTTACTTTGAAATCATGACTAATTGGGCTTGTCACCTTAAATGCATTGAACACATTCAAATATGATGTAAATATATAAAACTGATTTTCTCATAAGATCGATAATTACATCCATATGTTAAAAGTAAAATCAATATTTAATTGATCATAGGGGATGTTCTTAACATACATATAATACAATACTAAGGTAACATACAAGGAAAGTGATAATACTGCCTCTCTCTCTCTCTCTCTCTTAAGATCAATAATAACATGCATTTGCTGAATGTAAAATCAATATTGATTGATCTTTTGAATTTGTACATTTAGAGATTTCCCTTCCATGAAGTCAAAAGGAAAACACTTCACAAATTGATTTCTTAAATTAAAACCCTAAGAACTTTCGTCAATAAACATTAGCAAGGATATTGTGCTTACAAGTTTTACAAGTTTTAGAAATTTTGAAATAAATAACAACTTTAACTTACAGTTAAACATGAACACAGGAATTAATTTTTTTAATAGAAATCAATGATTTCCTAAAAGACTAATGGTGTTGTCTTTTCAGCTAAGCTGCCCCCCTTCTTCTCAAAAGATATCTACCGGTATACAAGTCTTACACGATTCCTGTAATTTTAAGGGAAAATCCCCAAATAATGATAAGTGACATTTACAAATTATGACAATGATAATGGATGGAATTTTGCCTGCAGCAGATCAAGGAAGTAAGTCTATTCAAATTTATTAAGCGGTCTTCATAATATGTGGTCAACTGGTCCATTTAGCATTTCAAAAACAGTTCTTCCTAATTATTGGTTAAACTGTTAAATTAAAGCTTATGCAGACAGGCCTGGGCATCGCTTCATGAAACCGTCATAAGTGCAAGTTCAACCACATCCCATTGAAACAAGAGCAAAATGTATTAGATATCCGCATTTCAATGGGTTGTAGGCAAACTGGTACTTACTGACTATGACAGTTAAAGATAGAGTTGAGTTCTGGTCATGCAATTGCATTGTGAAAGAAACGGTGTGGAATTAATAAGAAATATTGATCATGAAGCATACAAGCCATTGGTGTGTACTGCAAGGTTCTGGGATATCAAAATTATAAGAAATTTGGCCCATGCAGTCTTGGTAAGTAACAAGCACTTTAAACAGAAAGGTGCATGGGACTACACAAACATGTGGCATAAAAATCGGGCCACCTTTTTAAGCTGTTACTTGTCATATTTAGAATATCGAGGCATTTGGGGAAACTATCTACCAGGAAATTCAGGGGAATGGATATATGGTTCTTGAAAGTAAGGAAAACATTGAAACAATAAATAGTTTTAATCTACTTTATACAGCTCATAAACTATCTACATGTACTCACAACTATGTGACAGTGCTACAGAGAAATGGAAATTTAGATAAATTTGTTCAATAAATTCCATCAAGTCATTATTGGAATGTACGACATTCTTTTTTCATATTTCAGCAGAAATGTACATGTATTCTCAAATTTGGTGTATATTGTTGATATTTTCAAAACATGACAATCGTTCAATTCACATCAGGTTTGTGGCTAAATAAGTATTTTCTGATCTTAAAATAACTTTCACAAAAAAGAAAATTCCTATTGAATAAAGCATTATGATAAAAATAAATTTGACACAAACATGGAAAATATGGCTTGTTATCAATAATGTTAAATATATAATATAAATGCAAATTATCAAGGGTATTATTGTGAAACGGAAGAAATGCTAAATCTATATGAATGTATGATTTCTAAAAGACACTCAAAATACTTTCAATTAATGAAGAATTGCATAATAGTTAATGGTCTGTAGCTACACATGTATATTGTATACATGTATACAGCAAAACAGCAAAAATTTTAATTGGGGAAAATTAACTGGCTGCTGAGGGCAACAATTTAGGAAATAAGTGAATGAGGTAATGGTCTCATCAGGAATAAGTAATTAGTTAAGGAAGAAAATAAATTGGTCCCATAAGAATAGAGTGATGCAACATATGTGAACCCAACAATGTGATGAGAGTATATCATTTCAAATTAACTGGTATTTGCTACATAACAAAAAAATAATGCTAAATTATAATATATTATTACTGGTCATTTACAAAACCGTATTGCCCTATAGTTTTCATTAACAGTGGGAACGGAAGGGTATATTCTTTGTATTTTCCTTGGTCTCCCTGCTTGTATAGACTTTGCGTGTAGAGACGAGAAAATATAGTCTTGTATTGACCGCGCCGTATTTTGACATTTTCATTGCGCATCTATTATGCGTACGAGAACCTGCACACTTTGCGCGCACTCTATTGTGACGTAATAATCACATCAAAGGCACACTGTTTGCAGTGTACCCGACAAGCACAAATATGGATGCACAGTGCTGGTTTGACTAA